TCGGAGACGAGTTTCTTAATGCTTGTGTAGTTTGTGCTGTGGAAAAAGATATCTTTTTTCATATTACGAATGAAGATGTAGTTGATCGCTTTCAAAAAATGAAAACTCATAGAGAACAATTATAAAATGTAATTTTATTTCATCTTATTTACATATTTTCTAAATTTAAATTTATGCGTATTATGTTTGTGCTGACCAACTGTGCCGCCGGTGGAAAAAAATCCTGGATCCGCCACTGGCGACGCCCATGCCGGAAGAATGGTGTGAAGGATCCATATGCTAAGTTGGCATTGCAACTTCGTGCATGTCTTTGTATCTCATGCTATATTAAAAAAACTTGTTAGATGGTGTCATTGTATCCACCTAATGGTGTAAGTCACCCTTTAGATGAAGACAAAGTAAGATGTCGTTTGTTGAGGGGTACGTTGGCGAGGAATCTCTCTTGAGGTCTTGGGGTTCTTTTCCCCTCCATTGTGATCCCAAAAAACCCACGTGTTAGATTCACTTGTTTTCCTTGTAAAACACAATCCTATCATATCCTATATCTTATCTTATATCCTATATCCTATATGTATATGTAAAAGAGAGTTCCATAGTTATAGTGTTGACAGGTGTCCTGTGATGTGGCCAATATTAATTCATGTGGCAGCCACGTGTGCATACTAACATGTGTCTGCCAAATGTACCTATATTAGTTCTTTTTTAAATCTTTCACTTTCCAACAATAAATAACCATTCCTTTATAGACTTTTTATAAAGTTTACACTATCTAATTATTTTAGAAATATGTTTCATTGTTTTAATATATTTTAAAATATGCACGACTATCCTATATCTTAAACTTCTTTTTTTAAATATCTCTTAATATATTTTATTGTTTTATTTTAAATGAATATTATTTGTTAGCATTAAAAAACATTACTTTGATTTTTTTTGTATAAAATTTTAACATTTTCTAACAATTCCATAAAAATATATTTTACCATTGTAAAATATACTCTGTATTTTAAATATGCATATTGATTGTAAAATTTTAAAGAAGAGTATGTATAAGGCTCTTTCTTATTAATTTAAAATATTTCACTTTCAAAAAAATGAAAAAAACATTTCATCTTCAAAGATATTAAACTATTTTTGGCATTTTTATGTTTTATTTAATGTAATAATTCTTTAAATAAAATAGTTATAAAATTTTTAGTGCATGTACATCAATATTTAAAGAGCCTATGCGAAGCATGGGGTTAACATTACTGTATATGTAAAAAAGAGTTTCATAGTTATAGTGTTGACACGTGTCCTGTGATGTGGCTAATATTAATTCATGTAGCAGCCACGGGTGCATACTACTAACATGTGTCTGCCAAATGTACCAATATTAATTCTTTTTTAAATCCTTCACTTTCCAACAATAAATAAGCATTATTTTATAGACATTTTATAAAGTTTCCACTATCTAATTATTTTAGAAATATGTTCATTGTTTTAACATATTTTTAAAATATGCATGACTATTTTATATTTTTAAATAAGATTTATATCTTAAAAACAATGTTGTTTATAATTTTTTAAATTATAAACTATCTCAAAAGAACTATTATGTATAAATTTCATCGCACGTGCATTTTGATTATATCTTCAATCAGCTAACTAAACAAAGTGAAAGTTTAATTAAAGAATTACATTTGGCATATTATAGAATGATGTGTCAATACCTAATTGATCTATTTGGCATATTTATTTTAATTTTTATTAACTCCAACAATTTTCAAAATAGTATTATAATTTTTTATTGCATATATGTATTTATTAAATGCAAGATTTATTTCAAAATTTTTATCCTATTACCTACTAAAAAGTATATTTTAGTATACAATGTATATTTTTTCAACAAACTAAACAAAACAAAGTTAGAGTTAAAAGATGATACATGTTGTATGTCATATACTCCCTTCGTCGTAGAACTTTCTTACGATTTTGACTTTGCACAATTTTTAATAAATTTGAATGTTTGTGGTTGTTTGTGTAAATGAAAGAGAATTGATAAGAGTCAGAATGATATATTTTATTTCAATGTTTTATTTGTATCATTATTTAATTTCTTATATATTATTTCAACAAATTATTTTAAATAAATTTGGTTTTGTTGAAAGATTATACACACACACACACACACACACACGGCAACTAAGATATAATTACGAAGTAGAAAAATAAGAAGATAATTATGAGTAATTTTTAATTTTTTTAATGTATTTTGATTAATTAAAATGAGTACAATGTAAAAAAATACCAGATTTCTATCTATTGATAAAATATGTTTAATTTATTTTTTTGTAAATTAATTCTTCCATTGAATAATAATAATAGTAATAATAATAATAATCTTACGTTGTAAGTTAGAAAAAGTTAAAAAGTTTAGAAAAGGAGAAAGACTATTATAGAGGTAAAATATAAATCAATTATTAAAATTACTTATTTTGACATCTACCTCGATACTTCTCCCTTTTAAATTGGAGGAGTTAGTATTGCTACGTTAATCTTAAAAAATTATTAATGTCATTTGAGTTTTACTTCCATTTTTTTATAATGTACTCTAATGCTTAACATTTGATAATTTTAAAAATAGTTAAATAAATAACCTTAAGTATTTGTAGAAAATTATACTACCTCTGCCCCATAAAACTTTTCAAATACAAAAAAAGGTGTCCTGCAAATACGCAAAAAGGTACACCCCTAAATCATTTGTCCCACACATCATATTCTACGTTATTATAAAGTAAAGGAAAAGTTAGAAAATGAAATCAAAATAACACATTTTTAAAGGAGTTTAGTGGTATGTCATTTCCAAATGATAATATACTTAATAGATTTCAAAATAATTTCTTCATTGAGAACTTTAACTATGATAAGAAAAAATTGTCATCTGATCTTAGAGTATATTTATCTATGATGAATGAAGATCAAAGAAAAATATTTGATGCAATAATGGAAGTCTGACATCTGAAAGAGGAGGTTTCTTTTTTGTGTATGGTTACGGGGGACTTGGAAAAACATTTATATAGAAACCAATGTCTACTTCTCAAGACCGAATGGTAAGGCTATTTTGAATGTTGCATCTAGTGACATTGCAACATTGATTTTCCTTGGTGGAAGGACAACGCACTCAAAATTCTCAATCCCTTTGACTTTAAATGAGTGCTCAACGTGGGCCATCAACCAAGGGAGCCCGAAAGCAGAACTAATCGAACAAGCAAGTGCAATCATATGAGATGAAGCATGTGTGATGAATAGACTTGCTTTTGAGGCATTAAATCACACAATGAGAGATATAATGAAATTCTCTAATAATAACTCTAGAAATGAGCCATTGGAGGGAAAACTTTAGTACTAAGAAGTGATTTTTGGCCTGATCCTCCTATTTTACCTAGAGATTCGGGAGAGGGAATTGTAAGTGCTACCGTGAATTCCTCAAAATTGTGGTCGTATTCTAAAGTTTTTACGTTGACCAAGAATATGATATTGCATTCATCTAAGTCCTCTTATGCAGATAGAGATACACAAGTTATTTTTTGATTGGATTATTAAAATTAGAGATGGAAAGCTTGGTCAGGTGATTGATGGAATTGCAAACATTGAAATTCCGCCCAGATTCTTAATTCTTGACATAAGTTACCTCCTCAAGAGTATAGTACTGCAATT